TCACTAATTACCTAGACTGCTAAATCCAGATAATTGTCTGCGTGTGAAATATCAACTAATAGGTAAGAAATTCATTTTACGATTCAAGATGGGTTCTGTTTCGGATCGGACACGTATTGTTTAACAATTTTTTATAATTGTGTGTTACTGTCATCTGTATTCCGTAGCTGATTTAGGTATCTACTGATGTTTGCATTATTAGACGCCCATTACACGGTAGGTTTTGCTGTCAGTTTTACAACAATCACGGTTGTGATTGACGAATAACCTATCGTGTAATGCGGTGATTGACGGTTGCATGAAATTGATTGACAAATTATCTGGATATTTTGATTTTTACGTCAATCAACTATCAGTCGTGAATTTTGGTTGAACGTGTAATGGCATTTCATCAATCACGCGTCAGTCAACGCTTAGACAGCAATGGAGGCGGACGCAGAATATATTGAAGAGACGGCTTCTACGCGCTCGCGCAGCCCGTCGCCGCTCCCACCAAATGTGTTTCAGCCAGAAAAAGATTTTATTTTAAATTTTGAGTATCTCCCCGAGTTGTGGGACACGAAAAAACCCGGGTAGGTTGGATGCCCCTAATACCAGCCACGCCCCTAATTCCAGCCTTTTCGCCTTTTTACTTCGTAAATAAGATTTCTAGTAGTCTTAACTACAAATTCAAATTAGTCGGCTAAAAAATCTTCGTAATTAGATGAAAGTATATTTCAAATATTACTTCACAGTTTTAAACCTAACAGTGTTAAATTAAAAATCAAAACATAAGCATATTTTACATTAGCTCATATTTAGGCATAGATTATTAGGAGGTAATCTATGTCTTTAGGCTTTTTGATTTGTATGAATGTGACTATAGACATAGCAATGAAGCTATTTTTGTTTAAATCTATAACTTTTTTATTTTCTTTTAGTGGAAATTAATGGGGCTGTAATTAGATATACGAAATTTATGGAGTGCATAATGTCAGTCACCCGACTGTTATTTGGTTTGACGTAAATAATAAGAAGTACCTTATTTCAACCACGTAATATAAATCAGGGCTGTCATAAACTGGAATAAATACCATTAATTTGAACATAACTTATTTTATAGTTAAGTAAGTTATGATCAATTCGTTTATATTTTAAAATTGATGTTTTATTTAAAAGTTTGACAAATGATACGTACTTGCTTTTCAGACATTTGGTATATGTTAAGAATACCATACAATATTTAATTATTTTTTGAAAAAGAAAATACAAACAATAAATGTAATTAACTACAACTTAGTAATACTAATTTTACTATAACTTAAGAACATAAAATGAAAAAGTCATGACAAGGAAAGTGGTTCAGGACCATGCTTTGCGGCAGTCTATGGAGGATGATGTTCTGAAATGCTGAAATGATGATGAAGATTCAAAAACTTGGATGATTAAATTATAAGAAATCGGTGTACTATAATACATAATTTTTATTATAATTTTGTTTTAATTAATTGTTTAGTGTTAAAAGAAAAATTTAACTGCTTAAAGCTAAACCACAGTAAGGTAAGAAGTAAAACATTAAAATAAAATAATTGTTGTCGCGCATCTTAATACATATTCCATGCTTGTGACTCAAAAGGCATAGCCCTATGCTATGCTGGCATTAGGTACACAAAAGGAAATTGAAATTGACACTAAAAGGCTGTGTGTATATATATATACCCTATACGAATAAATGTAAAAGTTAAGCTTATTTTTCGTCCATAAATGCCTTTCAAATAAAGCCGCGTATCGATTATGTACTCCAAGAGGTCGAACATTGGCGCGCGTTGAATTAAAATGGGTAAAATGATATTAAATATTACAATTTTTCCTACTCGTTTTTTTTTCTTTTCAAGATATAAAATTATAATTAAATGGTGAATCGAAAATGAACTTAGTTATAGGTAGGTCCTTTCCCTCCGATAATTTGGGTTTGACTGACATCAGTCAGCATGAGCGTGTAATGTCGAAATTATTCTATCATACAAACGTCAATCATGATTGATCGAACTGATTGACGCTTGCCTAGGCGTGTAATGGGCGTCTTAGAATAAAAGTTTCATGGTTCGCTTGATAGCGGAATAAAAATGTATAGTAATGGATAACCAAGGGAAAGCAGTAGTATTTTTATACCGTTGCTACTGACTTACTTTTATTCTTTTCTAAGCATCTTCATTGATCCTGCTATCGGAGTCTGAACTATATTTGAGAAACACTAGTAACAAGTTGCTCTACCACCACGCTGCAGTAAAAAAGAAATAAAGTAATAATGTATATAAAATAACATTAAGAATAAAATAATTACTAAACTCTGCTTTGTTCCATATTGTTGAATTTACGTATGTATGTATGTTATAACATACATACGTTACGCACATACGTACGCACATTACGAATGAAAAAACAAAATGTATTGCTATACAGGCGATGCTATAAAATACTACTGGTATCTTTGTGGTAATACACATCAAAATATTGTATAGCATCTTTTTTGCGTGTGTGCGTTGGAAAGTATCTGATCATATATCTAGTGATACATATACTATAACAAAACAGGTTTGGAAACGCATATAATTCTGTGTCATCTATGTATTATCTACTAGGTCGTCTTATGTGGTAATATGTAAAACAAGTTTCTCTTTGTAGGCCCTAAAGGCCAAAAAATGCTATTATTAAATAACTTAACTCTTATTAATTATCCTTTGGCAACTCATTATAATATTTTGAGATAAAATATTATCTAGAGTACTATATAGCTGGCGCTCTGTATCAGAGATGTTGCGGATATTCGAATCCGCATCCGCAAATCGGATCATCCGCATGGAGTTAGACATCTGCATCTACATCCGCATTCGCATAGATCAATGCGGATCTTTGATGCGGATGCAGATGTGGAGCAAGTCACGACACGATCATAACGATTTATTCAAATTCAGGACGTATCAGTCACAACGATCGTTTCCTCCGTTTGAATAAGATTTATTGTGTTCCATAAATATTTCGTCGTATAAATTATAAATTAAAAAAAGGGAATAAAAATGTAGTCACCAGTAAAAAGTAATATCTGGACTTATTTTAAATTAGACGAAAATGATTGGGATAAGTCCCAGAGCAAAATTTGTAAAAAAAAGTTACTCACGAAAGGCACGTACCACAACAAATCATGTTAAATCGATGCACCCAGAAAAGTTTAGTTTGTTCGAAAGCTCGAATAAAAAAAAACAGTTGCAGAATAAAAAAGATGACGGAGGTAAATTGGAATTTAAATTTAGTTTTTTAAGTTTAAAAACTTAACGTCAGACTCGATGAAAAGTAATTCTCAGCTATAGGCACACATTAATCAGATGGGAACACGAGTTTACTTTCCCGTAACTTTTATATTGATAAAATTCAGTGTTAATAAGAGCAAAATTTAAGAAAGGAAATGTTTACAATGTAATATTATTGTTTATTTAATGACTTTTTTATGATATTTTTACTTTAAGGCGGTATTTTTTAAGCAATTTCAAAAACAAAAATTATAAAGACATTCAAATAAGAACCTCCTCCTTTTCGAAGCCGGTAAAAAACATTTGCATGTTTTTATAGTAATTTTTGATGTTGAGTTTTACTGAAGTTATTAGTTATTTTTCATGTTTTACTTTCCTTAATAATTAATATACAAATTACTTCAATGAGTTGCAGCGCTAAGGGTCGCGTTTAACTTTTCCTAAAAAAACGCTTGTACTCCGCATCTGCGGATGTGAGCCTCTAAAATCCACATTCGCATCCGCGGATGTCAAAATTCAGCATCCGCAACAACCCTGCTCTAGATATGTATTTATGTATATAAATTATACGTACATATAAATAAAATTGAAGTGTTTGCAATATCGAAATAACTGCCTACTATTAAGTTTAGAGTTTTATTTGCACGGTATTAAGATATCAATAACCATTTTTAAAATTTTTGTCTGTCTGTCTATCTAGTCTATCCGGCCTAATCTTTGGAATTGTTGAACCGATTGTGACGACTTCACATACAGATAGAGAGCAATACCAGTAGTGATGTAGGCTATATTTTGTTTAAAAAATCATGCAGGTTTTTTCTTAAATCGAAAAACTGATAAAGTAAATGGGCGTTGATGATTATCTTGTGAATTATAAGAGATATAAAAAGATGAGAACCAAATGTTTTGATTTGCAATTTCATACAAACACGGCCCAATATTATACAAAAATACATTTTTTACTATCTTGTTTTCATGCAAAATCGATTTTTTTTGCATATTTTTTTCTTCAACACTATTTAACAGCAGACCTGAGTGTTAAGAGATAAGGGTATAAGATCTTTTTTAGCGAAATTGATAGATTTTCAATTTTATGAGAAACATTTTTCCATATATCGCATAAAGTTATCGAGATAGTAGCAAAAACCTGAGTTTAAAGTGGATTTTCTTAAATTGAACTACTTGCTCAAAGGTGTTTAGGTTCAAAAATGTTTTAAAAGCTAGTTGACAATAATCGCTACATAATCTAAGGACATATTAGGAAATTAGACTGATTTATATGTAACTATAACTTTCTCGTTTTCTTGAACTCGGTGAAAAATTAGATTGGTCGCAATTTGGTTCTATCCATATATTTGATAAATAATTGAAAATTTGAGATTTTTGTTCGTGTAATATGCAATTTAGCGTAGAATGAAATTTATTTGGAGGCGATTTTATGATTTTTTTCGAGATATGAGAGACGAAAAGTTCGAACGAACATACAAACACTCATAGAAATCCTTTTAAAAGCAAATTATATCAAACCGTATAGATATTTTGTTGAAATGGTGACTTTTAAATATCATACTTATTACAACCAACTTCTAAATGGAAAGTTACAAATATAACAAATCAAAATAATATAATTATAATTGACGAATGGACAGGTACAGTTGTTGGCGAACGCAAATTGTAAAAATGTAAATGCGGAACCGTTATTGGAGCACTTACCGATATACATGCTGGAGGATTCAGGGCGAACGTGATCGTCGACGTACGTAGTGCCGAGCGTTAAGAGCGGGGAGCCGCCGCAACCTAACAACAACTGCGCCACCACGAACACCATCACTGGCACGAATGTGCTAGGCGAACTCTGCAGACAATAAGGACATGATTAAAACCTAGCAATAAAAAGATTATTACAACTTACGATCTATAATTGGTCGGTATACAAAATATTATACGAAGTCTCAACTCGTAGTGTAGAAGTATATATTTTTCTTTATATGTATACAGAAATGGCATTTACTGAACTTTTTTTTCCATCTTGGGCCCGTAAAAGTCCACTGCTAGAAATAGGTCTTGCCTACTGTAGGAAAGATTTGCATTAATCGTTATGCTTTGCTGGCGGCTTGACGATCATAATACCAGACGTTTCGCTTCATTGAAGCTGCTTTCTGTCGCCGCGCCGCGCCGGTTTGAATATTTTACACCTGGCATTACGCAGATGGATAAACCGTGATCTGTCAGACGCCATAAGATTTTTTATCATAATTCATAGAATAATTTAATTGATTATTTGAATTTTAATAATTCGTAACTTGCTCACGATTACTGAACGTGTACAATCTAAACATAATCAACCTTTTAAAAGTTTTATTAATAAAAGAACCGACTTCCACAGTAAAAAAAAAATATTTTCAGACAACAGCTTGTCAGTGTTAAGATGTGTGAAAATAATAACGAGATAAGTCCCAACTTCAGAAGCTATTGTGTAGAAATTATTTTATTTATTGAAGTCGGTTTTACTATTTTCTAAAGATTAATATTTATTTATAAATTCTTTTGAAAGTTGAAGAATGCGGGTTAAGAATGAGGCGGGTGAGTTGACCGTCAAATGGCTTTTTTACGCCGATGATCAAGTCATACTTGCGCCGTCGGCGACCGAGTTGTAAATGATGGTTACATTAATGAACAGAAACAGAAGAGAACAGAAAGAAAAGGGAATGAAAGTGAACGTAAGTAAGACGAAAGTTATAGTTTTTGAAAGAGAAGAAAGCAAAACGATATGTGAAGTTAGAACAGAAGGGAAACTATTCGAGCAAGTGGATGAGTTTGTGTATTTAGGATGTGTATTTAGCAGGGATGGTAGATATGATAAGGATATAGAGCGACGAGTGAACGAAGGAAATAGAGTGAATGGGGCCTTACACTCTATTGTGGGAAGTCAGAATGTGTTCAAAAAGGCAATTCACAATGCTATGTTAGTCCCTACTTTAATGTATGGTAGTAAAGTTGGGTGTGGCAGAAGAAGCACGAAAGTAGAATAAATGCTGTAGAAACGCAGTCATTAAGGAGTAAGTTAGGTCTGAATCTAAATGACAGGGTGAGAATTGTGTGATAAGAGAAGATTGTGGTTTGCAAGATCATGTTGTGACCAGGATTAAGAAAGGAATGCTTCGGTGGTTTGGTGATGTAGAAAGAATGAATGAGAAAAGAGTGACAAAGCAAATTTATCTTGCAGAGGTGAACGGCAGAGTCGGGAAGAGACGCCCTAGGCGAAAGTTTCTTGACCAAAATGGCGATATATTGAAAATGAGCCAAATTAGGAGTACCTTTAACCGACGAGCGTGTATGCGTATATATATGAATGTGGAGGAAGCGGGAGAGGTGTGTCAGGATCGTGCCAAATGGAAGTCCATAGTCTCTGCCTAGTGCCTACCCCTCTGGGTGACAGGCGTGAGTGTTTATGTATGTATGTAAATTTAACCTTCATATCTCAAGTTCAAGTTGACATCTAGTATGTCGTTTAAACAGGTAAATTAAAATCTTCATCCCCTATTATATAACTCTTTGGGATGGAAGGTTTTCTTTAAATTTACATGAGTCTCCCATAAAGTATAAACTAATTAATTAAACACGATACATTTAAATCGGTTGAGCCGTTTCCGAAACATCTGCAACGTACATAAAAAAATATATGCGTTGAATACAGAACCTTTCGTTTTACTGAACTCGGTTAAAAACTGAACAAACAACAGTAATATTTAAGTCCATGATAAATAATCATTAGTTTTGCAAATGAAGTTTGCTCTCTGAGAGGTTTTGGAGAATACCGCATTGCAATAGGCTCTGCGCTACTTCAATGCGGATTTAGGCACACATTTTTTGACACGACTCAATGAAATTTTTTATTGTTTCACATTTTACTTAAGACAAAAATCAGAATACCCAAAGGCTGTTTTATATTTAAAGTTATGATTACAAATATAAAGAAGTAAATTATAATTTTATCTTAATTCTCAAAAAATTACAATAGAAACAGAGGTATATATTTTTTATTCAATATAGATTACAAATAATACATATAGAAAATTTTAGAGATAGAAATAATAAAGTCTAGTTATAGAAAGTTTAATTTACCACTGGTTCGGAAAATACTTCTGTCATGGGTAGAACTAGCAAGAAACCCGAAGATGTTATAACATAATAAACTGTTCATTTTTTTCAAAAAAAATCTTCCGCCGGGTTTCTTGCTGGTTCTACACATGACAGAAGTATTTTCCGAATCAGTGGTAAATTAAACATAAGAATGACTTTCAATATGTATTATTTATAATCCTTTATAAACCTTGTATAATTAACTACACAAAAATAAAGTTAAATAGTTTGGTAGCGATCATTACATTCTCACGGATTATTATCATTCACACACATAGTTATGTGTATGACTATGTGTATGAATACACAACACAATACATAAATAACACACTGTTAGGCATTCCATGTTAATTCTCAGGGGGTGACAACTCACCTGTAGCCTTCTTTGTCTGATGTTAGTTTTAGGCTTTTAGATAGGTGTAATACAAGTATGTTTAATACTACGTGGTACGACTACTTATCTGCCTAGAAAACCGCCTGGATAGGCACCACCCTTTTACCTATTTCTGCCGCTAAATAACAGTGTGTTCCTGCACTGTGTGTTCCGGTCTGACGAGTACATACAGCCAGTATAGTTACAAGATGTATCTCTAGGCTTCTTTGTTTGAAATTGGTGTCCTTGGACTTACTAATAAGGCGGACTGTAAGCTCGGTAGTCACTTGTTTAAAGGAAAGACTCACTGCAGCCTATTTTGGCTGCTGTATGAGTGGATCGGCTCAACCGGGGAACATCAGCGTGAAATAGCAGCATAACGTTGCTATGTTTCTATGGTGATGAGTGAAGAATACCGGAAACCCTTTAATACTGATAACAAGACATTCAATCTTAGTCCGCGGATATAGTTGTCACTTACAATTAGTAAGACTTTTAGGTAGCTTACTGTAATATACGGCTCCGTGGCGCAGTGGCTTAGCAATGAGTTGTTGCGCTGGGGGCCGCGGGTACGAATTCCGCACGGAACAAGTATTTGCATGGCCTACAAATAATTGTTCCGGGTCTGGATGTTTGTCCTCGTGCAATCTGTTTGTATTTACCTTGATGCAGTTGTCGGGCCTCAAGTTGCTGGGCGGCAGTCCCTGTGACAGGCGGCCCAGCCCACCCATGTCCTGCTCCAGAGCGCGCGGCAGCCTGCAGATGTTGTCGTCCGACTTGTTGTTCGCCATCATCTCGCTGTTCGCCTCCGCTATGAAGTGAGGCACCACGAACACCAACGATCCGATACCCATTATAACAGCGCCTAAAACAACCCCTTTGATTATTTATTTGTTATTTAGAGATTCAGTAGGAATTGAGTAGTACTCAAACAAAAATATAAGAAATCTAGTCAAAACCCTTATATGTTTCACTTCTGGGCATATGATGATAGGCCTCCTCTCATTTCTGAGAGGGTTTTAGGGCAAGGAAGTGTCCACCGCGTTGCCTCAATATGTTGTGCTGGCGGTCTTCATATTTCTTCGAAATATTTTTTTATTAAATTTCTCTTGAGATGTAGGTTTCCTCAAAATGTTTTCATTCAGCACTTGGCAAAACATAACTTAAAATTGCCATTAAAAATTTCATTGGTGGCGGCGGGGATTGAACCCGGTTTACTCGCGTACTGTGTATTTTTCAGTGAGCACTTAGCTCGTGAGCTACCACGGTTCCAGCGCCTAGTATATATGGTATAAAATTACTTTTATGCGTTTAATTCTCGAAGTTTCGAGTGCTTTGCAGCACACATAAGCATGGTGATGGTGAGGGAAGATGAATGTGATGTTGTTATGCTTAACTGACGCAGGCTAGTCGTGAAGAGCCCAGAGAGTCTGGGATTTGGTTATTCCCAATGGGAATTATTATTAATTTGGTTTGATCTAAGGGAAACCGGCATACAGTAATACTTTTATAATAGGTTTCGTTTTAGAGCATTTTCAAAAGAAAACAATAAAATTGTATAGATATAACTACAAAATGTTTATAATCATTAGTAGTAGTGCTTGCGAAGAATTTTGTTATAATTTACAGGTATATCGTTTCAGTATTGTTACCACTAATTTTGTCGGGAAAAAATTGTGATTGTTTCCAAGCCGCAAAATCTAGTCGCCGACGAAATCAAAGCGTGATTCATGTAAATTTTTAGCCTGTACCGAACTACTATGTTATGGTTACGCTAATTAAAATAATCTTTTTGTTCATCATATATGTATGTTTAATCTATACATATATGATGACTCTATACGTATTATATGACGCCTACCAAAACCTTGTATTGTTCGTTATTTTGCATTATACTCATATATCACCACATTTTAATGCATATTTATTAACTGAAATAGAACATTTATATGTTAAACTAGCTGTTCCCTGCTAAAGTATGTACAATGACAATTTAGTAAAAATTATACAGTTATTTTGTACGGTGTCTCCATTTTTGTCAAATTGTATAAAAATGGAATAACTAGTCAAATAAAATAAAATAAAATTTCTGATTTCACATATTATGTGATATGGAAACGGTAATTCTATTGATTTATTTATAGTTATTAATATTTAGTAGTGTATACGAGGGTGGATTGAAAAGTACTCGGCCTAACACAGATGCATTCAATTCTAAAAATCAAATCTACCCACATTATTTAGTTCAGTTCAGACTAGTTCATTGTGTGAAGTTCGAAACGTGTGCGATAATTAGTTGTGATTTTATAAATTTATTAACAAAGTAATCGGACATAATTTCCGCGAATGGAGCAAATCGAGCAGCGTGCCGTCATTAAGTACCTCCATAAGAAGGGGCTATCATCAAAAGCCATCCATGATGACATGGTCAGTACATTAGGCGATTGTGCTCTGTCATATTCATCCGTCAAAAAATGGATAGCAGAATTTAAGCGTGGTAGAGAGAGTGTGAAAGATGAACCCCGCTCTGGATGGCCTTCGACGTCAACTACTGACAAAAATATTAAAAAAGTACTTGATTCAATAATGGGAGACCGCAGATTAAAAATTAGAGAGATAGCCGAGATTATAGGCATCTCTTATGAACGAACTCAAAACATCATTGTCAACGAGTTGGATTTCCACGAGGTGTCTGCGAGGTGGGTTCCGCGACTGCTTTCAGTTGAACAAAAAAGGACGCGATTGACTATTTCACGCGACTGTTTGGAGTTATTTGAAGCTGATGCAGATGATTTTTTTAATCGTTTTGTTACTATGGACGAAACATGGGTTCATTACTGTACACCGGAAACAAAACAACAATCAAAACAGTGGAGAAGACCTGGTTCACCACCCCCTAAAAAGGCTAAGTCGATTTTGTCGGCAAATAAGGTGATAGCTTCAGTATTTTGGGACTCGAAAGGTGTGATTATGATTGATTATCTTGAAAGGGGTCAGAATATAAACTCTGATTACTACTGCACCTTACTACGTCGTTTACGAGAGGAAATAAAAGAAAAACGTCGAGGAATGCTCAGAAGAAAAGTCCTGTTTCATCAAGATAACGCCCGTGTTCACACGTCAGTACAGTCAATGGCTGAAATTCACAACTGTGGCTTTGAACTGTTACCGCATCCGCCGTATTCACCTGATCTGGCACCATCAGACTTCTTTCTGTTCCCTAACCTAAAAAAGCACTTGGGAGGTCAAAGATTTTCGACAAACGACGAGGTCAAAGCAGTTGAACTTGATGGTGATTATGTAGAAAAATAAAAATATAACTGATTTAGTATTTGTTTATTTTCTTGGTTAGGCCGAGTACTTTTCAATCCACCCTCGTATTATAATACCTACCTCTAAATAAGGGTTGCTAAACTGTTTACATTCGGGGAAAATAGGATTGGAACAAAGTAGGACAGACAACACTTGTGTCATATGCAATATAATATGTTAAAACAAATATTTGATTTATTTGGAAATCGAAATCAACTTGAGAATCACAACAATAATTTGTATTAATGGTTCGGTGACACAGTAGTGTAAGCGTTTTGATGTCACGCTGCGGGTCAAGGGTTACAATATCGCATTGAATAAGTATTTGTATGGCCTAGAAATAAATAATTGTTCCGGGTCTGAATGATTGTCCATGTGTAATTGTTGTATATATATATATATATATATATATATATATATACACAAAAATTACACATGGACAATCAAATATATATATGTGTGTGTGTGTGTGTGTGTGTGTGTGTGTGTGTGTGTGTGTGTGTGTGTGTGTGTGTGCGCGCGTGCGTGCGTGCGCGTGTGCGTGCGTGCGTGCGTGCGTGTGTGTGTGTGTGTGTGTGTGTGTGTGTGTGTGTGTGTGTGTGTGTGTGAGTAACGAAGGATTCTCTAAAATATTAGTCCAAGTTTCTTCTAACATATCACGAAAACGTGATAAAGCTTTTTTGAATGCAAAGGGATGCAACATCTCTTCGCCTCGTCTTTCGTCTTCGTCGGTCGTAGACGATTCGAGCCGCTCTGCGCTGGTTACGGTCAAGTGGAAAGAGCTGGCACTGTGGATGCGGCTCCACAGCTGAGCATCCAGAGCTGGCACTGGGGTGCCCCGGCCCAGAGATGGGAACAGTATTCCATGTGAGGCCGATCCTGCGCCTTGTAAAGTTGCAGGCGGTGTGCCGGCATGAAATACTGTCCCGCTCTGCTGAGCAGGCCAAGCTTTTTAGAGGCCAATTTGGCTTTCTCTTCCAAGTGACCAAGAAACTGCACGTCACTCGATATGTCGTCACGGCCGGTGTATAAAGCATCACCAGTGCTGTCATCTGAATAGAAATGAATATTACTGGTTTGTAAACATATCATTAATATGCAGAAGAAACAGAGTTGGTGATAGCACGCAGCCTTGTGGAACATCAGCGTTAATGGGCTTGTAATCGGAGCATGCACCGTTTACTACGACACTGATGATCCGATCTGCAAGAAAACTGGTGATCCAATTGCACGATTTCTCGGGAAGCCCATAGGAAGGCAGCGTTGAACGAAGCGCTTTGTGCCAAACCCGATCGAAGGCGTTTGCTACAACAGCCAACGCCTACCCCTTGGATTTTACTGCCTCCGCCCATCTATCAGCTAGGTAACCGAATAAAATAGAATAGAAGCCGTACTCGCGGTCACTAATCAGCTGGTGATCGTCAAGGTAGCGCATGAGCTGGCAGTTAATAATGGTTTCCATTACTTTGGAGAACAAGGAGGTGATAGCGATAGGCCTGTAGTTGGACGGATCTGAGCGGTCGCCTTTTTTAGAGATCGGGTGCACCAAAGCTGTCTTCCATGAATTCGAGACTACGCCTAGAGAGTAGGAGTAACGGAAAAGACGCGTTATAACCAGTGCCAAATCCGGAGCACACGTCTTCAGAACAGTAGGTGGGACTGCATCAGGCCCACTCGACTTGTTGACGTCCAGAGAGAGGAGTATTTTACGCACCGAGTGCTGTGTAAAAAGCACTTCCTTCATGGAGCACTCACACCGCGGGATAGCCGGTGGTGAGTTCCCCACTTCATTTAGAGTCGAGTTGGACGCAAAGAGAGAGAGCTTAACAGATCAGTTTTCTCCTTTGCGGCATGGGCCAGTGAGTCGTCCACCCTGTGCAGAGGTGGCAGAGATGGTTGACAGAAGTTCCCTTGGACAGCTTTGGCGAGAGACCAGAATGCACGTGTTCCCAAAGGGAGGCGAACTAGTTTCTCGGCAATTCTGCCGATTTGCTCTGACTTTGCTTTGACAATGCAACATTTGAAGGAACTGGAGGCAGAATTATACTTCTTTTTAAGAGCGCTGGTGTTGTGTCCAATGAAGAAGATTTAAAGAATGAATAGATCTTAGATTATCATTAAAATTGGTGCCATATTTATTTTAATTATAATTAAAAATGTATAAAACACTCGAAACAAAAAAGGCTCATGATCTTCAAACAGCTGAACAGATTTGTTTGAAACAAAGCTAAGAACAATATCGATTAAGGCGCCTTTTAAACAAAAACAAACTTAATCAAAATCGGTTCATCCGTTGAGGAGCTATGATGCCACAGACAGACGCACGGATACACATACACACTACAATATTATAACACCCCTCTGTTTTAATGGGAGGTTAAAATAGTTCAAGTTATGAAGCCAATTATAAAAAGAAATAGTATTTTTAGCTGTTTTAAGGCCCAAAGCAAAATATTACTACAATAAGAATAGTAAGTAACTCACCGACTGCTATCCAAACGGGTATGTGCCTTCTGCTACCGAGATACGAGACAAAGATCACGGTGATAACATTGCCGATCTCGTAGCTGCTTGCGATGAGACCCGAAAGGCTTGACGGGATCTCGAAACGTTTCTCGATTGTCGTTATCACAGAGTTTATGTATCCGGAGCTTAACGCTTGCTGAAGCGTAACTAGGAACGAAAGGAAAAATACAAATACCTGAAAGCAAAGCAAACATATTTTAAGGATTAACCATCACTTGTACACAACGATTTTTATCAATCTTATCGCTTTTGGTTGCAGCATTGGCACGATAGCTTAAAATGATTGACTCATGGTGGATAAAATGTTTCTGTTTATATTCAATAGTTACCATAAATCTGACTATTTATTACAGAAGATTCTTCTATAAACGTCAAAATAAATTACATTTCTTGTCCTGAACCAATTTTAATTTAGTGTATTACTTTAACAAAAAGAATATAGTCGATTTCTATTTAGTAGTAGAACTTTCTCTTATTTAGTAGTCGATTAATAAGAAGCAAAGGTTTATAATATACCCCCTCTTAAAAATCGTTTAATTTCTTTAAAAGGAAGTTATCCTCGCATGACATTTTTTTGAACTTTTTTGTAAATATTGAATAGGTAACATTGCATACACTGATTTGTCTGGTAAAATTATAATAATAATGGAATTTCTTAACATGCATGAAATATCTATCGTATTCATTTCATAGTAGTTATTTTAGTAATAAGTTCACGTTATTCCCAAACGAGTGGCGTCTAAATAACAAAAGCGTGAACATGCAAATTAGTACCCACGCAATTAATAAAAGTTTGATGAGAATATTGCCGTGTAGCTTATAAAGCATGAAGGCGTACATCTTCACGCAGGTGTTTTAATACACCAAAATATCGGAAAATAATATACAGAAAAGGTTGTACATTCAACTTTGTGTTAGATACTCTTTTTTCCATTTTAGAGTTCTTTTTCTTACAGAACAAGGGCGATAAATGAGCACACAGTCGACATGAAGTTAAGTGGATGCTGTGGCCCATAGATATCTACATCTATCCTCAAATTAGAATCAAAGTTGCGTTGTCACCACTGAGGACTAATATGGAATGCATCGTTTCTAGTAAAAAGCTTCTCCGGTTCTCTGTACTTACGCTGGTTATTTTGTGAGGGCGTAGTCTTTGCCCGAACAAGCCGACCCATTCGTGCTACAACGATAATATAGCTTCAGCGTGGCTCTACCACTTTGTATAAGACACTAAAATGGACGTCACATCAAACGACCTTTCTAAGCTCAATAATTAACTTAAGCCTTTTCAAAGATTATGCAAGTTGGCTCTTATTAAGATAGATAAGATTATGCAAGTTGGATTATGTGCAAATCGTCCAAGTAATGCTTATTACTTGGGCGATTTGCACATAATCATCAACACACATCACTGCTCTCCATTTCCAGTCTGTGAAATTCGGTTTGAGCATTTTGTAAGGGCTTTCCGCTATGATATTTTCAGAAAATAATATCTATTAAATAATTTCAGTAATACTAATGTACTTACTTTAATACTAGAAAATCTCTGAATGAATAACGGTCTCCAAGAAAGGATGCCGCAGTCACGTGCGTCATGAGGAATGTCTAATATTTCTGGGAACAGCTGGTGTGGCTTCTCTTTCTCCCTCTCTCGCTCGCGATCTCTACAACAATATCTTTACATGTAGCTTAGCCGTGGTCCTGATAAGTATACGTGGAACACTTAGAAAGTTTCGCCAAAATCAAAAGCATTCTACGGTTAAAGATTTACTATGAAATCTATTAACGTACAATTTAAAAATGTTTGCGTATGTACAACGAAGTTTGATCAGTAACTTAACCTTAAGAAGTAATCCTATACGACCAGTAGAGAAATTGGCGATTACGATACGATTACCTTTGATAGACGAAATGTAGACTGGAGTTTTATTTTATTTGAAAAACAAAATTAAGGTGTTTATAAAGTTTATAAAACAAATACCAATAAATGAACTAAATTCAGAAAAGGAATTATCTTGCCTAGGGCTTTATTAAAAAACTGTCACGGTTGCCATCCAGAAGGTTAGGCAGACTACGGACCTCCATTTGACACGATCCTGACACACTTTTCTTGCTTCTTTCACATCCACAGTTTGACCTATGTGCATCGGTGATTAATTTGTTTGAATTAATTCTGTAGTTGAACATTGATGCTTTTGAAAATTAGTTGAAATAGGACTACTTGTCTAAAAGGCTAGCTAGTTTGGAGATTATCAGATTGAAATCAGCTGCCGCTCTATTTGAGTAATTGATTATATGGTGGATGGCTTGGTTATGCCTACTTGTTTGAAAAGTCATACTAGGGACTATCTGTGCGTTTCGTTTGGCTCTCCACAGACGACGTTCATGTGGAATTTGTGGGTGCTCTCTGCACTGAAGCTTAGGAGGCCACGCAGGGCCGCTTCGTGTCGCGTCGTTGTTTGCAGACCTGATCCGGTAGGATTGCGGAACGAATCATAGGGGCACAGATAGGTGTTTGAAGGAGGTCGTCGGACTTCTGTCCAGTACAGGACTTGTTAAGGTGCTGCGATGCCCAAGAGGGGCATCCAGTGGAGGTTGACCCTCCGGCTTGCCCACATTGGGGCTGTCTTTTTGAGGCGGTGGCTAGGGTTGCAAGATCTGATGGGGTACCTAAGGTGGCCTAGTTTTGGTTGTAGATTCGGTCTTGCAATGTGCAGTCGCGACCCTGTCCCGCTTGTCGGTTTGCTCGCGGACATAAGTCCTTATGTCCGGGACGGGGGTTTGTTTATGCCCAAATTTGGTTATGTTTGAACGCCACCCAATTGGGTTCGAGCTGGCGCGTCACCCGATAGTATGTAGGTGAGATAAGCGCCGAGGTGGGGCGGCCGTGTGCGGCTTGCAGTAGCTCGACACGTGGGCGCGTTTTCTGAGTTGTCCACTAGCCGCGATGGGGGGAACCCGCGTAGCTCGTGAGTGCGGCGGAAGTTCACGCGACCGTTGTCGGGTCCAGATGGTTAGATTAAGGGCGTGTTACTTCCTTACGTGGATATGTGAATTTTGCAATATTTAACTTGTTCGGGGATGCAGAATTGTGCCCGCGCGCGTCGAGTAGATATACGGTCTAGGATTCGAACCGCGCATTCTTTGTTCGAGAGCTTCTCCCGGTTGATCATCAGGAAATCATTATAATCGTGCCGTCGCGTTAAATGTCCTTTTTGTGTGTTGGCTTGTTAGTTTACGCGTCAACGAGGCGTATTTTGAATCTTTTCACGACGTGGTGTTTTGGTGTCGAATGAAGGAACTTAGTTGTGTTTAACGCTGAATAGTATGACTCATTAAGAGATCGCTCTAATTCTCTCTTTATAATTTTGTGATAAGTGAATCCGGGACATTGTACGTCGAATTAGAACTGCTGTCTTTACTGTGTCGGGTATCACGTGTTCGATTCTACGATGAATGTGGAATTAGGCGAGTTTAAGTTAGTTAAATGTGCAATGAAGCTAATAGACTGAAATAGTGACAAGGAAGAAAGAAATGGTTCAGCGGTGGAGCCGCTGGAGCGATGCAGCATTTTGGGGCAGCCCGAAACTCGGCCGCTGCTGTTCGCCTAAGGAGGTCAAGGTCTCACACATTTACACTACACTAAACACTACTTGCCATGCACCTCACACCCACTTACGGCCTGACCGAGCCTTGGGGCGATCTAAGAGTCGCAAACAGGTACGTAATATGTGTTTCTAGCATTCTCCCATATAGCTTAGTGTTATAGGAAATTCTTCCATGTGGTCATTTTGGGCACGACCTGCGGCTGCTCGTGGAATTTTCTGCTCATGTGCCCCAGAGGATTCGACCCTTGCTGGAGCAGCTGTAGGCCGTAACATTTAAAAAAATAGGTTTATCAGTGGTAGAGCCACGCGGCAGCTTTTGCTGTCGCACGGATGGGCCGGCTCGAACCGGAGTGGTACCACGACCTCACAGAAAACCAGCGTGAAGTAGAGGTTTACCTCTGCGTTTCGCTTGGTGAGTGCAGGTGGCCGGAGGCCCTTTTTACTGGAAATGAGGCATTCCATCTTGGTCCTCACGGGTGACAACGCATCTACATTTTGATTTGTAATGGAGGATAGATGTAGAAGTCTATGGGCCGCAGCAACGGCTTACCATCAGGTGGACTGTATGCTCGTTTGTCACCCTAATCCTATAAAAAATCCATATAATCGTATCAACGCAAGCATACTCGTCGGTTAAAAGTACTCTTAATTTGATATTAGAAATATTACTTCTTCTAGTATTAAATTAAAAGAATTATATAATTATTTGATACTTCAAAAGGGCTATTTGATACTTTAAAGGTCTACAACATTTTCTCTTCACGTATATTAATATAAAGATAGATATTACACAAAAATATTTAGGATTTCATATCCTACATACTAGGATAAAATATCCAAAATATTTTAGTAAAAGACGGATAATATCGAAACAAACACACTCGGTGATTCATATATTCAGGAAAAAGGAAACGGCCGATTATAATCCGAAATTTTATGTTTATTGTTATCTATATCACTTCACGTCACTGTTGATCACAACTCGCCAAAGTTTATGTTGAATAATTTAATATTAAAAATGTTGTACAATCAACTTCAATTTAAATGATTAAGAATAACTCAAAAACTAGTGGTCAGACCTTGATCATAGCACCAGCTTTCAAATAAAAAAAGAGTCATCGAAATCGGTTCACACACACAACAAAAAAAACATACAGCCGAATTGGGTACGTCTTCCTCCTCCTTGAAGTCGGTAGAAAAATGTATCAGATATTAGAGTGGGACATAAAACCATAAGATTTTTTTAAATATAAATAAAAGTTTTAAATATAAGTAAAGGAAATATTTAAAAATTACTTCGTTCGCATAGAAAATCATCTTTGTGTATTTTGAAGCCGAATTTGGTAATTTTTTCGGTTTGAAGCATTATTACTATATTATGTCGAATTTTAATTTTATAAATTACTCCATTGTTCTAACTCGAATAATAATATATACGTTCGGTTTAGCCTTTTTGGGAACGGATCAGTAACACATGTTGTTAAAAAAGAGCCTCTTCACGGTACAGCGCCACGGAGACTGTTCACTAAGTGAGACGTAGCTTCCCGTAAGATCCACGCTCTGAGCGTAGTTTATTTTCATTGCAAAGCAAGTACTAACCAATTTCTGGAAGCGAAACGAGAAAAAAGGGTAATTATTAGTAATTAATGGTATTTGTGAATGAAAAAACATGAGAAATGTGGAAAAAATTAACATACAGCATACAGGTGCTAAAGAAATGTAATTGTTACATAAATCTTCAAGACGCATCCTATCTCTACATCACGTCTTAAAGGCTTATACATTTTAAGAGAAATTCATACTTTACATTTTGACCTGTAAACTATGAATTGTAATTCCGCCTGTGAGTAATATAAAAAACAGTAGGAATTATGAAAAGGCACATATAAAGTAAATAACGCCTTTTAGATGCGCTATAGTCGGATAAAAGTAAGGGATAGTATCGAGTTAATACCTAAGTAACAAAACTTTGATAACTCAATTTAACTTTTTATATATCTGCAGATAGTATTCCTACTGCGCAGTTCCTATAATAGATAACGTTATGCTAAAATATATTTATTTTAACGGTGCGATATTTATGTAACACTATAGTGAAAGTATCATCTCAATCCGTTCTCAGATTCTGTGTGAGGCGCGTTGTGAACGCGCCTCACACAGAATCTGTCATACGGACAACGATTACGAAAAATGTGTTTTATTTTTGTAATAGATATTTAGATAAGAGTTGTTTGAAAACATCTCAGATCTCATATTAATCAATAAAATAATAAAATTTTAATTAAAGTACATACATAATATATTATTATTATTAGTATGACATAATGTGTAATATACTCACGAAATACGAAAGTCAGTCAGTGACAGTCACCGACTTCATAACTGCGAAGAACTACTAAATGGTCAATAAGACATAATATATTATACTAAATGTTACTTCCGTCCGAAAAAAGGTCTGAGTTATTCGCGCCTAAAGAAATTATACTTCAAAAATAAAGTATGGTTTATACGCTCAAACAGTTATTGAGCAGGACATTTTAAACATGACATGGTATTCAGAAATCAGAATCAGACAGGTATTCTTAGTTATAGTTTAAACTACTAGACTTGGAATTATTATAAACTAGCTTTTGCAAAAGCTTGAATTATACTTTAAACCATAGGTGATCCATCAATAATCACACTTTCATAGTAAATTCCATCACCCTCTTTAGAGATCATTTCCGCGATCAAAGCTATCCTATTTCCTTTCCCGGAACTAAAACTATCTCGATACCAAATTTCATCTAAATCGGTTCAGCTTCGCCTGAAGAGGTACATTTGCTCACGCGGCGATGAGCAATGTTTTCCCTCACCTCGCCCGCAGCACGCCCAGCCGCCCTGCGCGCGCCGGACCGCACAATTTTATATCGTCGTTACTTTATTAAATATTTGACCAAATTACGTGGTTTAAAAGACAAAGTTTATCTATTTTGAACATCAGAAGCGATTAAAGTATCAAATTTTATTTTATTTATGGTTCACTATTTTGGTAATAACGGCTTACACATAAAATATAGATATACACTGTCGCAGACTTTTTGTAGAACTATTTAGGAGAAACAATTCCATCATAGTTTTTGCACCGCACACCAAAATAGCTCGCAGAAGACATTTTTTCCGACTTACTTACACTTATCGTTATATTTTGACCAATTTACACAATATCTTTATTCATTATAGCCTATGTGTTGTTCTGATGTATGAGCTATATTATCATAAAGTTTCATTAAAACACATTCAGTAGTTTTTGCGTGGAAGAGTAACAAACATCCATGCATACATACATCCTCAAAAACTTTCACGTTTATAATATAAGTAGGATAAATGATGTTTCGCGTGCTGAATATTAGATTAAGTGGTTTTCTAATGTCTTTAAAATACTACAATATCTATTATAAAATTCATTTACAATAGACCATCAAGGGCCTAACTATATTAGATGACACTTTAAAGATGAAATTACTACGAATGCAACCGATACTGATACCTACCGATATATCGGCGATACTTCGAGTTTTCGACGATATTTTTATAGCCGATACAACGATACCTTTCAAAAACAAGGTGTCTTAATATATAGAGAGTCGAGGCGCTGATCCGCTTGTTTTCTTGCGCATTGACGTCTTATTCCCAAACTTGAAATAAATTGCGCAGAAGTAGTCTAGTTTCCAAATGAGTTCTGTCGCATCTGAGAGACTATTTTCCATCACAGGTCTCATTCAATTGCGAAATCGACTTTTTCGCTTCATTTTACAGAATACTTTGTTTGTTCAACAAAAATCTTATTAATGTCAATTTTTATTACTAACATTATTAACTTTAATTATTAATTTTAATAACTAATAATCTCATTCTAAGTCTGTATTTTTTATTTCAATTAAAAATAAATATTTAGTCCATCTTGTGTGTGTATTACCTTCATTTAAATTCACTAAGCGAATCGGTATATTTTTATAAGAGTACGGGGTATTGTATCGGCAAAAAGGCGGATCAATGTATCCCTAAAATATAAAATATAAACTATCGTTCGGTCCGTTTGTAAGATAGATTTGTGTAATATATCGCTTTAAATAAAATTTCTTGATGAGTCTATGATGGGCAATTAGAACATACACTAAAATGCTTATAATATAATCAAATCGATATACAACAAAACTGTATCACCACCTTGTTATTGTTACACATTACACTACAATTTATATTATAAAAAAGCTGGAAATAAATTCGAGTGGCAGTGGTTTTAAGAATTAACTTCGATATGTTTTGTTATGTTTTGGTAAATATTGAGTAAATAAAAGTATCATTATTACGGGGGTATAACTTATACCTAAAGATGAGTGTCCCAATTCCAGCAGAAAGATAGGTAAAATTCTTCTAGTGGTAATGTTGAATGTGTTAGTGGTAAAGCTTAAAATGAAACTTTTTGTTTCTTAGGATAATAAGTTTAGTACGGACACAATAACTATTAATATCAATCGTGTAATGGCGGTATAAGAGTATCCACTACCCCATATCGTCGCGTGGGTGTCGTAACAGGCGACACTGGGAAACTGAAAAAGAATATGGGCAGTAGCATCCATACCAGGAGGTAACAAAGCAAAATAAAAAAAAACAGCAAATGTCAACCCATCTGCTAAGCGTGGCAACTATTGCTAAATCCTCCACATGAGGCAATTCTAAGGAGACTATAATAACATTAACAATACTGGTATAATGCCAAACTTACGCTATTAACGCTATGACTGTTCTCACGGAATAGGGACGACGAGTAGTGAATTATGAATTTTTTACAGTGGGTTTCGTAAGAGGCGACAAAGGGAAACGCGTCCTTCAAGCTGGAATCCTCCATTTTATTATGTCAAGATTTAGTGAGGAATTGCTGACAATAGGGTATTTTACACCACGTAAAAAAATCAAATATATATTTATGATAGATTTTGAATAAAAACTACTTTTACGGATTTTATCGCGTTTAATTAAGTGATTTTATATTGTGGAACCGTTTATGCTTTCCAGCAACCGAAACGTCGGGAATATAAAATCACTTAATTAAACGCGATAAAATCCGTAAAAGTAGTTTTTATTCAATGTGTAGTGTTCGCGTAAATATAAGAAATCATTATGATAGATTTTGTAAAAAGTAAACGAGAAATCATTATCATCATCATTACAGCCCTACACAAGTCCACTGCTGAACATAGGCCTCCCCCAAGGAATGCCACAAAGCGCGGTCCTGAGCCACCTGCATCCATCGACTTCCTGCATGTCTCACCAGGTCGTCACTCCATCTAGTGGGGGGTCGCCCTACACTTCGCCTACCGGTACGAGGCTGCCACTCGAGAACCTTTCTTCCCCATCGGTTGCCGGTTCTTCGAGCTATATGGCCGGCCCACTGCCACTTCAGCTTAGTAATCTGTTGGGCTATGTCGCTTACTCTGGTTCTGCTGCGGATATCCTCATCTCTAAATTTATCACGCAGAGACACTCCGAGCATAGCCCTCTCCATAGCTCTCTGAGCGACCTTGAGCTTCCTCACACGGCGAGCAGTGAAGGACCACGTCTCAGATCCGCAAGTCATCACTGGCAATACGCACTGGTTGTACAATTTCGTTTTCAGGTTTTGAGGTATGTCTAACGAGAAGATGTGTGGTAGTTTCCCGAACGCTGCCCAGCCGAGTTGAATCCGTCGATTGACCTCTCGGTCGAAGTTGGACTTACCTAGTCGGACTATTTGTCCCAGGTAAACATACTCGTCAACAACTTCGAGCTTAGTGCTCCCAACAACTACCGGCATAGGTGTGACATGGACGTTAAACATGATTTTTGTTTTGTCCATGTTCATCTTAAGACTTACTGAGGTCATTGAGCATAGTGCTTAGGTCCACCAGCGATTCTGCCATAAGGATTATATCGTCGGCAAATCGAAGGTGAGTGATGTACTCGCCATAGATGTTAATACCGTATCCTTTCCAGTCCAGTAGCTTGAAAACCTCTTCCAATGCACCCTGTCTTACACCTCTCTGCAGTTGGATAGGTTTCGTACTCTGATTCTGTACTCGGATAGCCATTGTAGCTCTACTGTACAAACACTTCAGCACTTCGATATACCGATAGTCAACTTGGCACCGCTGAAGGGACTGCAGCACCGCCGAAATTTCGACGGAATCAAAGGCTTCACATACGTAAGGCAAAGTGGCAGATTATACTCCTCTGTCTTTTTACAATCTGCCGCAGGGTATGTATGTGGTCCGTGATACTAAAGCCTTTTCGGAAACCGGCTTGTTCGGGAGACTGGAAGTCGTCAAGTCTGCGTGCGAGACGATTCGTAATGACACTCGAAAATCGCACTTAGACGCAGCTCAGAAGGGAAATCGGTCTGTAGTTCTTCAAGAGAGCGTTGTAACCTTTCTTGAAGAACAAGACCACCGCACTTCTGCTCCACGCCTCCGGAGTAGTGCCACCATGGAAGACGGAATTAAAGAGCTTCTGAAGGACTTCAAGTACCGGTTTTCCTCCCGCTTTCAAAATCTCCGCTGTAATTCCATCCTCGCCCGGGGACTTGCCGTTTTTAAGGTGCTGGAGAGCCATTCTAATCTCGCTCAGACTGACGTCCGGAATTTCTTCGGAATAGTGTCGGATAAGACTCGCTCTTGGATCGTTACTCACACTTGCGTGTGGCTCCAACCTCTCAATCTCACTCAAAATCTCAGGTGTCCCGGAAACTATGCTGCCACACTCGGTCTTCAGCTTTGACAGTTGGCTCTTTCTCGTAGACAAATCTCTGGCAAAGACTTTGGAGTCTTGGTTCCGCTCGATCGCTTCTTCAATACAAGCTGTATTGAAGTTGCGCAAGTCCCGCCGACCAACCGCCAACTGATTATGATTATGTAAAGTTAATATAATAAATAATACAAAAAAAAAAATACCTGTCGCAAATGCCGGCAGAAGGGTTCCTGCTGTGGCACTTGATGGATTCCCGTGGAGGGTGTGCGGTGTGCGGCGGCGTGCTGGGTCCAGCCACATCGCTGCCCTCGGCACACGTCGATTCGGCGTAAAGACCCGTCATGGCATACATTGACTCTTGCCTCCTGACACAAAAAAAACAAAAGATATCTAATACATATAACAAAATATGGGCTAGCATAATACAGAGAAGTTTCGTAAAGCAATTAGGATCTTTTTAATTTATTCAATCTGGATATTTACAGAGCTAGGTAGTCTTGGAAAGATCTACAAGCTACTTCGAAACCTTTAGTACTGAGTTTCTGATATTAGCCATCATTATAAAAAAAACAGTCAAATAATTCTTATTAAGAGGGTCTTAACGAAAGCGTTTAGCAACCACGCGCTGCTAGCGCGATGGGCTATGTCGTGCTCTAATACTTTCAGGGAAGGCTGCCTAGCAGAACGTAAGCAAAAGCATACATATCGATTATTATTTTATTTAAGGAACCTATTAGTAGATTTAGTCAGTAGTAAATAGATTTTCAGGAATCAAATTTTTCTATATATAATTTTCTAATCGGAAATCCTGATTAAAAATTGGAAATCTTGATATATAATTTTCTTGTCGGTATCATACCTGAAAAAATACAAGGGCTCGCATTATGTTAGTACTTTAATACTGAAGCACGAACTAATTTCAATCTTAGAAACCGTTGTCAATTGCGTTTCGTGTCATGAATACGGTCTGCGAAACCGTCAGGTTTTCTTGGGATATACAAATAATGCAAAAGGATACAATTAAGAGAAGGTAAATAAAACAAACAGAGGCATAAAATGGGGTCTCTGTTTGTTAGTCCTTCGTGGTTATAAAGTATATTTTAAACGTTTTATTTTATGCATTTTAGTTGAAGTAAAATTTAACGAAGTTTTTATCTATGATTTATGCTTGAGTAAAACAGTTCACCATGAGAAAATAATAAATACAAAATTAAAAACTTTTTATGACGGTCACAGTCTTTCTCATAGTTTACGATAGTTTGTACAATAATAAGTTTTATAGAGGGATACCTCTCCACAATCAATGTAACTCGCTCAGCTTTCACGTTAGCCATATTTAGTCACAGACTGCAAATATTTAACACACGAACTTCATAGAGTACAGTTTGTATTGCAAATGCAATAAACGTAACAAATAGCTTCACTATATTCACGAAACACTGTTAAGTCGACGACGGTGCGACGATATTCAAATTAGATAATGAACACAGTGATAATATGTATTGTCACACGCGGATGACTCAACTTAAAGCTTTGTCTACGTTGAACATTATCAGATCGGATGTACGCGAATGTGGAACAGGTGTCGCAAGCTACATTATCAGCGATACGCCAACATGTGTTATCGAGCTGCAGGATCTACGGATGCTTGTTTTGTTGTATGTGCCTCAAATGTTCTCCTGCTTTAACGTAATTTATGTAAAATATCGAATTAAAAAAACTGGAAAAATGATATCTGTTTAGATACATAAATAAAAAGTATCTTTGTCGGCTATGGTATTTACATTTACGCAAAATTGTAATTTACTAAGAATATAATACGATGCTATAAAACTAAAAATATTTATGTGTCTCTTATTGCCTTTAGATAGAATTAAAAAAAAGAAGAGTCAAGACAGGAATATGTCCTGTTACTGAAACATATGGAAGTCAGCGTATAAAAACTTAAAAATAATTTCGAAATCGCCGACAGAATCCCTCGTAGTAAATGTCAAACTTAAGTTAAATTTCAACAAGAAATTTAAATTAATATTAAGTATAAATACATTACGACACGCCTAAAATCCTCGAGGGTGTCGACAGAATTAGGTCTTTAACTGTGAAAGTGCCATTTTTTGCCGGTTCGGCTAGAAAATTTAAACTACTACTTACTTAATACTACCTTCGATCAATTGTTAAAAATATCTAAAATCAAATCTAACATGACAGCGTAGATCACGTACTCGTATGTACGACTATAATTTTCGCGTGGCATTGTCATTTATTCGTTCAGGTGTTGTTCTAGAATAAAGCTAGGAATAGTTTGCATCTAGGACTGAATAATTAAACTTTCCTGTATAGGTAGTAATCCAGGTGCCATTTGACGTAAAACTTGATGCAAATAATTAAGACAGAATTCTTGTGATTTTTCTGATTTGTGCTATGTAATATTATGTATGCACACACGCAATGTGTTCTAATTTTATGTAATTGATTTTCTGTCTGAATCCGAAACGGTCAATTGCGATTGTCAATATCTTACGTGAATGACAGTAGTGATTGGGTTACTTCTAAACGACTTGACCGAATGAGGTCACATTCGCACAATATATTTTTTTGTCGAGACGATGGTTCATGGCTATGCTAGAATCCTTAGCATACACATTTTATTAACTATACCTACACAAGAATACTTTATGCTATTTAAGTAAATATATAAAAAATAAAAAATCTTAGCTTATTAACAATAGAACACGAGGCAATACAATATAAACTTTGAAGATGTGATTTTCGAGTTTGCTAATGTTAAAGTCAGAAAGAAGAGATATTAACGAGTGTTTGTAGATAATATGTATAATGACAGTAGGATACTACTCTAATTCTTTGTATGTCATACTCAATTTGACTTTCACAACTGTGAAATTCTGTGTGATTCAAACAATTCTATTATCATAATATAGAGTAAGCTTCATTATTAATTACTCTTAGAATAGCCATAGACGGAGCGCATGATGCAGTCGAGACCGACTGCAAGATGCGGTCGCCGCACGGCGATCTGCAGTTTCCATACTAAATTCATATCCGCAATACACGGACCGCTCGAGCAGTTCCTGAGCGGCCGGACTCGGAGCAGTCGCTCTGCGGGCGAGTTTCGCCGTACGGTCGACTGCTCAGACCTGCCGGATCCACCATACACGGACCGCTACAAGCGTTTGCTGCCAACCGCGCGCCACTCGCTCCCCACTTCCCGCTGAGTACCCATCCCTTCCTCTCGGCAGGCAACCGGTTCAGTCCGCTCCCGCTTCACTCCCCCTACAAACCTCACGCACTCGACTTGCTTCCTTTGTTTATGTTGGTCGATTGTTCGTTTCTCATCCAAAATGGCGAAAGTTCTCGAAAATATAGATGACGAATTGTTTAATAATGAAATTAAAGAAAACGAATGTATCTGGAACTACAGCAGTGAATTGAACAGTGACAAAATAAAGAAAGATGGTGCATGAAGAGCCTTATGCAAAAAATTTGATCCTAATTTTAACGAAAAAAGTGTAAAAGAAAAAAATGATATTGGTAAGTAGGTACACACAATTTTTTATTAAATTTTAGCTGTTTAGCTCAAATATTATTCCTAGTAATTATCCGCGGATTCTTTCCATAATATGCTTGTTATAGTTATATGCTACACTAATTTCCATTGCCAATCTAATTGTCCTTCACTTACGAAGTAGGCAGCGAATTTATCCCGGATAGAGTTCAGCCAAAACTATTAACTAATCTGTGGTTCAGCGCTAGTCCTCCTTGCTGGACGTTTTGTTGCAATGCTTGGTCTTCAAAACCCGTTATTGTCAAACAATCTTCGAAGTTGTAGCAGTCTCTTTCACGCACGAAGTTGAGAAGAATGCAGCATGCTTTGACTATCGTTTTAGATAATTCAACAGACACGTTTAATGGCCGATGGAATATGCGCCATTTGTTTGAAAGTATGCCGAAAGTGCATTCGAAGTATCTTCGGGCCCGAGACAGTCTATAATTAAAAATTATTTTTTTATTGGCAATAGTTTTCCTCCAAAAGGTCTCATAATATTTTCTTGTAAACGGAAAGCTTCATCGGCGACAAATACGTTAGGCAAAACTGGGCCTGTTGTTGTTATTTTTGTAGGAGCAGGAATGTTCAGCGTGTTTCTTTGTAGTTTTTTGTAGAATTCAGTGTCTTCAAATACTGTCGAGTCAGCGTGTCTTCCATATGATCCAACATTTATGAAAGTGAATTTATAGTCAATGTCACAGACGGCCATCAACACTAAAGAAAAGTAGTGTTTATAATTATAGTACAAGGAACCGCTATCAGTTGGTTTTATAATTCTTACATGTTTACCATCGGTCGCCCCTAAGCAGTTTGGAAAGTGAGCGCGTCTTTGGAAACCAATTTTTATATTTTTCCAGTTATCTTGGGTTAGTGCTACAAAACTTCTACAAATCTTTCATATATTTCCAAATATTTTCGCACACGTCTTTCACTATTTCCCCTATTGTACATGCCGAAATTCTATAGTTGTATTCTAATTCAGCAAAAGTGCACCCTGTTGCCAAGTATCTGTAAATTTTTTTTTATTTCCAGCAAAAGCTCTTCAAAAAAAGTGCAAAGTGTTGAGAGATGGCTTTAGACGTTATGTCAATAAAACAAAAAAAAAAATTAAGAGTGGCTCGGGAGCTAGTAAACTACGATAGTATGTTTACTATCATCAGTTGTCATTCTTGTTGCCATTGACGGAGGAGAATGCTGGTACTGCAGATAGTTTGGAAAATGAATCGACTGAAGATGCAGTTACTGAAGAGAAAACACCACAGCGTGGTCGTAAGAGGACTAGTATGTCCAAAGAAGACAATTTAATTATACAACTGGCGATAAATTTGAATAAAAAATACAACGAAACTACGTTTGATGATAAAACCGATGATGACAAATTATTTCTTTTGGCTCTACACGGTGACTTTAAAAAAAATTCTTACGACTACAAATTAAATGCTAAGACCGATATACTGAAAGTTATAAAAAAATACAAAGTGTTATCCTCTGACGTCAATTTATATTCTAATCAGACCTCATCACGCTCGCAGTTTAACTATCACCAGCCCTCATACCCGCAGTTCAGCCATTTGTCATCGTCAACCTACTCGCAGCCAAGCTATGATGATTTCAGTAGTGGCTACAGTACTGGACCTCCTCAAGCATCTACCAGTCGACCACTACAAACTGATATCACTATTGGCTACAGCACTGGAGTCCCTCAAGCATGTACTAGGCGACCACTACAAACTACGAGACTTGAAGAAACAGATGTTTTGTCTCCTGCTGATACTGAAGCATCGCAGTCATCATGTAATG